GCTTTTTTCCGAATGAAATAAGCAAAATAATCCAAATTTTGGCGGTTTCTGACCCAGCTTCACAAAATGATATGGCTGCCGAGTTATAATACTTGATTGAAAGGGGTGTAAATTCACACCAAGAGAAAGGAGACAATTAATTGTACAAAAGACAAGCTGGCTTGGCGATTCCTTCCATCTGTACAATCGTAAAAACGATCTGAGTTTTTCGAGAATGATACTTTAGAAAGTTGAACATGTTGAACCCTCACAATATTCTTTTGTCAAATTTTTTATACTTACAGTTGATATCAAACACCTTTATATTATTTTGTAGAGATTTTCGCAGCGCATATTTAGGTAATAAGTATAGCAAAATTGGTTGGGCCTGTATGTAGAAAATTTAAAAATACAAAACTACCCATTTCTTCTGGACCACCCGATATGTTTTTTGAAGCTTTGCTCGACTTATTTGTTTTCTATAGATAAAGAGTGTCCCATAAAATCTAAGCCTCAATTGAAATTAATTTATGTATAAATAAAAAGTGATTTCTAACCATTGATATCTATATGAGTTTCGAGTAGTTAGCATGATGTTTTAAAAGGCATATTATCTCTTTTAATAATAATAAAATAAATAGAAAAAAACGTGATAATTAGAATATGAGTAGAGAGGATAGTCATACATCTACACTCATATTCTAGATACTATGTATAGCTTTGTATAATTGTGTTACGTTCCATATGATGAATTTATAATTCTCTGATCGATTTCGAGATTTTTTTTATCATGTTTCTTCTGTTTATATCACCATTATTAAAAGAGATAATTTCGTTGGATAATATGCTATGTAAAACATCGTCCTAAGTACTCGAAGTTCATATAGATATAATTGGGAAGAAATCGTTCCTTGTTGATATATAAAATAATTTTCGTTGAGGTCTAGAACTTATAAAATACCCTGTATCTATGTGTATAGCAATTAAAATAAGATCACTTTTAGTAGGGAGTAAATTTAGGTCATTTCAAATGATTAAATAAAAATTGTTTGACGAATTCCATAAAGAAAGGATTAGATATAGATTGTTGTAAAAATATTTATAAGACTTTTGTGATACTGATAAAATGAATGCGACAATGAAATGTTTCATTTACTGCGATAGTTTATTGATTTTCACAACAAACTACACGATACATTTTTTCAAAGATCATCTTCAATTTAAGATGAGAACTTATAATCAATACAATACGATAAAAACAAAAACGTGCCAGGTTTTTTTTAATGTTCATTGAAAATGGTTGAATGAATGTGTTTTAGTTTATAGAAATTTTTATGAACCTTTGTTGCTCAACCAAATTATATTAAGTAGAACTTTAAAGAAGAGTATGCACTATGATATTCTTATTATAAAGAAAAAAAGAGCAATCAAATCTCTTGAATTTTTCTACAGATAATAATTAATGTTGACTTTTATAAGGACTTTTCGGATACCCTGTATAAAACCTAATTTTCTCTAGCGACTTTTATTTAATATGTTATAAATTAGCAATTCATATCACAAATGTGTTCACATTACCACGGTAGAATGGCGTTCAGAAGATATCCGACTGTTCAAGTATCAAACAACTTCCACTCAATTGTTAGTATACTAGTGGCTTTTTGTCACTAATTACGAATAAAACCGATTTACTACCGTTATACTGCACATTATACTGAATAGTCTAACAATGATTTTTCTTCAGTTTGAATCACATAGGTAGACATTGAATGTAATAGATACCCATATCAGAAATATATGAGAATACGATAAAACTAGTGATGGGCCGTAACATCTTCGTCTATCGTAAAATGATATATATCTTTAAAGCGAACGAAAGAAAGGAAGAAAAGAAAAACATGACGTTATGATGTTGGCTGTTTTCTGTTTTCGCGACTGTACGTAAATTGATATTATATGTTCTTTCGCTCTGACGTGAACTGTTTTACTCTTCCTTCGCTTAAGACGTTATAACGTAATGTTACGTTATAATTTCTTAAAGTAAACGACTATAAATGAAGTGTGAACTGATAACGTCTAACGCGGAAATAACGTAATAATCACTTTTAACGTAAGAAATGAAGAATTTCCTTTTTCGTCGCTCAATAGCTCAATTGATACGTCAAAAAAGAAATTCAACGAAAATTTCAGAATTTACATGAAACTTGAAACTATGAAGAAGAGTATCTTCAAATTTTTGTTGTCAAATATTTTTTAAATTACGACAAATATATTTCATGATGCTTAGTAATTTCCTATTAAGTTATATTATTTCATAGTAACATGAAATATTTAATTTGAAAGTCGTCTACAAATACCTCGACTATATAATTATGATCCCGTTAGTTCTGCGTGATAGTACCTATCGATGAGTTTGGCTCCACTCAAAAAAACTGTTGAAAATGTATTACTTCTTAAGCACTTAACCGAAGTCTTAATAAAAATACAACTAAAATATAAAAGAAACCCTTGTATTCTTTATTATTAAGAGATACAATATGAGAAAAATATTATTCCGAGAATAGAAAATCATTGATTAGTCTAGTTTTATGTTAGGTAGCAAACTCCGAATAAAATATAGTGTGCTATGCTATAACTTTTCTTTCGTTCTGTCGCTTTCCTTTTTTTTTTTTTTTTTTTATTTTTTTATTTTGCTCTTAAATGTAACACTCGGAAGTGCTTACATGATAATATAAGGAAAAATTAAGGAATTTAAGCACTGAGCAACAACATAAACACAGTGAGTTTTACCGTCGCTACCAATATCTTCTTATCGAGTATTAACTCAGCTGGTATGGGGGTTAAGAGAGTGAATAAAGAAACAAAAAAGGGAAAAAAGGAAAGAAGAGAGAAACAAAAAAGGGAAAAAAGGAAAGAAGAGAGAAACAAAAAAAAGAACCATGACGAGAAAAGAAAAGAATGAAGTGAAAAAACAAGAGTTAAAAAGGAAAAGAAAAAGAAAAAAGCTCATAACGAAAGAAACGCGGCGAAGCAAAGGAGGAGGAGAAGAGAAGAGACAATGAAAGCAAAGCAGTATTACATATGCATTTCAAGGTCAAAAAAAAAGAGAAGGCATGTTCCATTCGGGTATATCATTAGTTCATTTCAATAAATGATATCCATTTTAAGAGAAGTGTTTCATGCTTTTCTATTAATCGTTTTACACGATTAGTACGAAAAAACTGACCAAGGTGATCCTTCTTTCTTTTATGAAATTCATCCCAAATAAAAATATCACTATAGAAAAGTGAACGACCAAGATCTGTTGTGTCCATACTTTTTAGTCTTCTTTGAATGTAGTGTTTAACGTATAGTTCTAATGAATCTTCATTAGTCGTATTGTATAGATTATGAGCTGAGATAAACGGACAGCTATGCATGTAGCTTTCCCTTACGACTCTATTCGTTTACATTACAACTTTTTTTTTCTGTTCTGTTACGCCTTACGACGATAGGACAATAACGTATAACTCTTATTACGTCTGATGGCCCATCACTAGATAAAACGGTATATAAACAAAATATAAAACATGTTTGAAATCGCTACTCTTCGATGACAACGTTTATTTTATGATTATTTTTTTTGCAAAAAGTCAAAAAGTAAATTAGCTTTTACGAAAGTCAATAGATACATACCAGTTGATACTTTAAATGAAACTAAAACTCACAGAATTAAAAAATTGAAAAAGAAGTTTAGATTAGTTACGAATAAATAAATTATTAGTATTGATATAAAGAACAAAAACCGAAATATACAATCAACATATTATTTTGAAACTTTTTTCAACAACATGTACAGTGTCTTTTGCATATCGATTATTGTATTGTTCATATTTGAGTTCATCTCAACAAGTTTATTTTGCATTTTATTCATGTTAAGTTTCATTATCTTCAATTCTTCTGAAAGTTCAGATATTTGAGTACTTGCATTACGTTGATTGGCGAGTAGATCAATTTGATCAGTACAACAGTCGGCTAGGTGGCCTTGTTGTTCTTTGACTACGTGAAGTGAATGTATTGAGTGAAATAGGTCTCGTTGTGCTTGAATATACCGAATAGATGATGCTGGTATGCCTTTCTTTTTCATACCCCAAACTTTAAATGCAAATTTAATCACATTTGCTGCTTGTATTTTACGTTTTTTTGACAATTCAATAGTCAATACAAAATTATGTACATATTTTTCCCATCGATTCATTTGAAGTTTTTGCGTAAGAACACTGATAAGAAGAGCAGTTGAAAGGACACCAATCAAAGCAATTATAGCCGCAATAGCTAATAATGATTAAAAAAAAATAAAAGTTTTATTCATATATGAAAATTTAAAAGATTTTTTTATCATAAATAATATTTTATTTACTTCGTCCACAATATGTAGAAGGTGTGAAATCTCCATAACCAACAGTAGTAAATGTTATAATGAATAACCACATTGAATTTTGCATTGTTAAATGTTCATTGGCCGATGAGTAAGCACATGCACGTAAAGACCAACTTCCAATAAGGAAGACAAATATACAAAATATTGTTAAACAAAAAACTGGCCATTGTTCAAGATAAGTTTTAATGAGAAAGAAGTAATCAATTGCTACTTTATTAAGATAACCAACTGATCGTGAAGATGTATCACGAAATAGATGAGAATGAAACAAAATAAAACGACACACCAAATAAAGACGGGCAAACACTATTAAAATACTTGGGTTTAGATTTGATGAAGAAAAACAATATTGATACTTACTTGGTAAACCAAGGCCTACATCAACAGATGCATAAGACAAAGAATAAGGAGAAATTGTGGATTCATCTGAAGTTATAGTTTCTAAAGGTGTATTTGAATGACTCGGATAAGCGCGAGGCATTGGATGTATAGCACAAATTAATATTTCAACTATAATCAAAAATATTCTCGTATACGTTATTGCAACACGACGATCGTCAATTGAATTATTAACAGCATAGAGAACGATATCTAAATGATGATATTGAATGATAAATCCAATGAGAATAATTGTTGAAAGACTAATAACTATTTTGATAGACCAACTCGCTACGGTCTCCTGATTACTGATCTGGGAAAATGTTAATTCATTCTCAATAATCATAAGAATAATTCCCAAAATACCAAGAAAACACATAGCATCAGCCACGAAAGAACTAGAATAAAGAAGAGAATAATAAAAAAAACAAACATACACATGTCATACAGTTGTTTATGTAACTTTTTTCTCTTGGTTAGTCGACGACTAAGTACAGATAACGATATACTTCCAACACTTTTGGGTCTGTTGTAAGCTATATGATGACTTTCTTCGTCATTGAAAACATCTGAATCCATTGACATTTTTGTTGTAGAAGGTAATGAAACTGTGTTCATCGATTCTCTTTGTTGAATAGATGGTGAAGAATCAACATTAGTAGTATTATCCAATTGTATACAAGTATCTTCAGTATTGGCCATCTTATATTTATCTGAAATAAGTAAATACATTTATGAAGACTGTAATCGATAATAATAAAGTTGTTACATTATTATATCAATATTTTCTCAATCGTTTTTTACATACAAATAAATAAATCTAAAGAGTAAACAAAAATATATAGTAAAGATGTCTGACAAAAGTATTTTTATATTTATATTCTTTTTTTTTATTATCAAAATATTTTATTGAAAGAGAATATAAAATATTTTGTCTCGTAATTTTTCAACAACTTCTAGATTTTATTTCACAAAAATTCATTTCGATAGTTTAGTATAATAATACTTACGCAAATCGGAAGAAATTTGATCAAATTTCTATTTTTGTCAGAATCAGATATTACTGAGAATAACTATACTTTTCTTCACATACTCTACATTTATGTGAATAAAATCATCGATTACTTATTTTATACGGAGATATCTACCTTTTCACACCGTTATATATCAATATGAATAGAAGATGCAAAATAACATTAACGCGAAGTAGAAACAAAAAATGCTAATCACATGTCGTAGAGTACAGTTAGCTATAAAGTGTGAGATTAACAAACAATCATCCACTCCGCTTTCATAATGACTCATTTATCTGAACGAAAAAAAAAAATGAAATTACATCGATTGTTTGTATTTTTTTATCCATAAGATGCATGCTGATGACACAAATTTGTATGAAACTTTTAGCCTTGAAAAAGTTTCATTTATTAAATCAACTGAACAAATTTATTGATGAAATCTATGACTATTGAATGTTGTTAATTGAGAGAAAACTCGTTTTTCCATTTTTTTTTTGTGTCAAATGAATTTGATAATAATTTTTTCGAATCAGATTTTCTTTTTCTTCTTTTAAATAATTTTATTTTCATCTACAAGCGTTAGTTCGTTGTTTTTGGAAAAAAATGTTTTTTTAGCACCACAAAAAAAAACACAATTGAGCATCAAATGAAAAAAATAATATACATGTTATCAATCTATTGTCGAAACTGAACAAGTTAACATGATGATGCAATTTGAGAATAGCTATATCAAAATTTATAAACTTTTTTCTTTTCTATCGTTTTCGTTTTCAGTAAAGAATCAAGTAAAAGCGAATAATACAAATAGTAATACAGTGTTATTTATTCTGATTTTTATATTTTGTTTTTACAGGATACGCGATAATAAAAGAAAAAGAACTAAGATGGAAAGGAATGAGAAAAAAAAGATAGATAGAAATAGAAGTGTTAATGATGTGAGACCTTTCGAATTCTATCTTTGTCAAGTGACTAACTATGATAAAAATTAAAATAAAATTGTACTACTACTAATATCCATTTCAATGAACAGTGCAGTCGGTTGTAAGTTGAATAACTTCGGCTAGGAAACAGCTAGAGACCTGCGGTTTTCAGTTTTGGATAGAAGGGCAGCAACTTTATATAGAAATAT